CTTGTTGATCTATCCATTGTTGATAGTGGTGTGTTGAAGTCTCCCACTACATATGTGTTTTCTCTGATGTCTGTTTTCAGAGAGGACAACAGTTGTCTGATATATTTTGGTGCTCTTTCGTTTGGTGAGTATATGTTAATGAGTGTTATTTCTTCTTGAAGTATTGTCCCCTTGATCATAATGTAGTGACCATTGGGGTCTCTTTTTATTTTGTTGAGTTTGAAGTCTGTTTTATCTGATATAAGTATAGCTGTTCCTGCTTTCTTTTTGGCCCATTTGCTTGTAGGATTGTTTTCCATCCTTTGACTTTGAGCCTATTTTTATCTTTTGTAGCTAAATGTGTTTCCTGGAGACAGCAAAGGTTGGGTTTTGTTTCTTAATCCAGGCTGCAACTCTGTGTCTTTTTATTGAAGAGTTTAGTCCATTTACATTTAGAGTTAATATTGATATGTTAGCATCTGTATTTGCCATTATGTTTGTCTTTCCTTTGATTTTATTTATTTATTCTTTAATAACTTTTTTTTTTTTTTTTGGTCTTCTTTCGTTGTTATTCGTCCCTCTGAGGTTCTGGCTTTAGGATTCCTTGTAGTATTTTTGGAGTGGGGGTTTAGTCGCAATGAAATTCCGGAGTTTCTCTTTGTCTGGGAAGGTCCATATTCTTTCTTCATGGAGGAAAGAGAGCTTTGCGGGATAGAGTATTCTTGGTTGGCATCTGTTTTCTTGGAGTCTGTTGACTATGTCCCTCCACTCTCTCCTTGCCCGTAGTGTTTCTTCAGAGAAGTCTGATGTCAGCCTGATTGGTTTTCCTTGAATGTTATCTGTTTCTTCCCTCTTGTCAGCTTCATTATTTTTTCCTTGTCCTGGATTCTTGGGAGCTTTACTATTATGTGTCTTGCTGTGTTTTTCCTTTCGTCGTGGAAGTTTGGTGTTCTTCTTGCTTCTTGTATATCAATTTTCAGCTCCTTCTTCTCATTTGGGAAGTTCTCTTCAATTATATCCATGAATATTTTCTCTGTTCCTACATCTCTCTCCTCTCCTTCTGGAATTCCTATAACTCTTATATTTCCTTTCCTCATGGAGTCAGATAGTTCCCGAAGTCTTTCTTCATTCTTTTCCTTCGTACTTCTCTTTCCTTTTGTTTTGGTTCTTTTTATTTCTGTGTCTTCAAGATTACTTATTCGTTCTTCCATTTCATCTATTCTGCTTTCATTGCTTTTCCCAGAGTTCTTTAGTTCCTCCATTAATTCTTTGATCTCCTGCATTTCTCTTACTTCCCTCTTTAGGGACTCAATTTCCTTCTTCTGATCTATCACTTTTTTAATCATGGCAATTTTAAATTCTCTTTCTGGAAGGCTCAGAAGTTCTTCCAAGTTGCTGTCGTTGCAATCTGGGGAGTGGTTTTCTTTTTGTGGTGTGCTTCTTTCCTGAGGAGTTTTTAGGTTGCGTGTGGTTCTTCTACTCCCTACTGTCTGTTTTCTAATTTGTCGTATGCATTGGGACACTGTGTTGCTCGGACTGACTGACATCTTGGGTGAACTTCTCCGCTCCCCTCTGGCTCTTCCAGGAGCCATCTCTGTCTTCTGGGGAGCTTTCTGCTGGTTTTAGGCAGTTTTTACTGAAGAAATGTCCCTGTTCTCAAATGGCGAAGCGGGATGCAGTCTCTGCGCCTCCGGTTTCAGGCACACTCTTCTGCGCACCCGGTCTGCCCCGGACGTGGGTGCCTGCTCCCTCTGTGGGCTCAGACTGCTGGTCGGAAGGGGCCTGGCGTGGAATAACTTCCCAGCTGGCCACTGGGTCCTCCAGAAACCTTCTGCCCTTTTCAAGCAGTCTTAAGAAATGTCCTGTTTTATAGGGTGTTAGTGACTTTTTTTTTTCCTGGTCGCTAGGTGGCGCCAGAGATCTCTTCTATTGTCCTTGGGGGGCTGTTTTTCGCCTCCCCCCACCCCGTGGGACAGAGAACAGAGCGGGAATGGTAGGGTACACCTCAACAGCTTTGGGTGCTGTGTCTGCCTTGTGCCCCACCGTCGTGGAGAAACCACGCCCCGAATTTTGGTGCCCCGGGTCTCAGTTCAAAGCCCTCAGTTCCAGGACGTGGGCTGTAGCCCAGTTCAGTGGCGCGGGAAGGGCGCCTTTTGCACAGCTCCCGTGCCTGGGCGCCTGGTTCCTGCTCACTCAGGGAGGGACCTTCACCTCAGTGAGGACCTCCGTGCGTCTCCCAGCAAGCCTAGGTCGTCTCCCCGCAAGCCTAGGTCGCAGGCGCAGGGACCTGGGCAGCCGCGATCCCAGTCTGCACTTGCTTTTCAAGCGCACCGAGCGCGCCGCGTTTCCGCGCCAGCTTACCGGCAGCCTGGGCTGTGTGCGCGTCTCCCGGGGTCTTTGTTCTTCTCTAATGGCGCCAGGAGCCGTTCGCTCACCGCCGCGGCGGATCCTGCAGGGTTCGCCTCAGCTCCCGTTCACGGGGTGTGGTGGCTGCAATAGTTCCTTTCCACGCACAGTCCCGCTTGCTGCGTCGTTTGTTCTTGTTGGCCGTTTTGGTTTGTTGTTTCCTCCTCTCTGCCGGTCGGAGAGTGCCGCCTCTGTGGGCGGGGGAGGGAGCAGGGTTCTGCGCTTCCCTCCCTTCTGGTCCTTTTATGCCACTTTCTTCTTCGGGCAGTTCGCTGGCGTCACCCGTTTATCTTCTGTGTCCCAGTTCTCACTGGGACCTGCCGCTTTTCCTCCCTATTCACTTTTTTTAATGGGAGATCTTACTCGCAGCGTCTCCTCGCCGCCATGTTGCTCCGCTAGGATAACTTTTGTAATGAACTCATTATAGTTTCTATCCTGTAAAAAATTTTCTTTTATCCTCTCCCTAGAATATTTGATAAAAAGCTGACAGATTTTTGGGTTTCAACCAATGGTATTCCTGTTCTTCATACAACATTTTCAGTAAATATTCACTGGGTCCCTATTAAGTGCTGGGCATGATATGCTCAAAAGTGAGTATAAAGATAAAGAAGACGTTGTCCTTGCCCTACTGTTACGGGGTAGACAGATGAGGAGAATGCAGTGAGATGCAGGGGCCAGAGAGGGCAGATGTGCTGCAGAGAAGGCAGAAATGGCAGGCAGAGGCCAGAACAAGACAGGCTAGTCTCACTGGCTGAGAGGTTTGGACATCACCAATGGCATTAAGAGCCACTGAAAAATATTAGGCTTCGGGGTAACATCAGTTTTGTTTTAAAAATCTAATTCTACACAAGAGCATGAAAGATGGACTAAGTGAGATAAATATGGAGGAAACTAAACTACAATAATCCAAGCAAAAAAATAAAATGTCAAAGGACCAAACCAAGGCAGGGGAGTGGGATTAAAAAAGGGCTGGATGTAAAGACATCTCATAGAGAATATCAATAGGCTTAGTTGAAGAGATGAGAGAGGGAAAGGAAAGAATCTGTGAAGATTTTAGGTTTTACAGATTGTTGGAGTATGTTTGATATTTTAGATGTAGCTGAGTTGAAGAATATATTTATAAGCTTTGGCTGATTAGTTTTTCTTTGGCTCTTCCTCTTAGTAGTGGACAAATCATATTGACTTGTTAACATTCACCTTCCTTCTCTTTAAACTGAAGATAATCTTTCTTTAAGACTTTCAAATAAGGCGAGGCAGACCTCTCCTGTCTCACCCGCTGCTCCCCTCAGCAGTGTGTTTCAGTCAATCTGCCTGTTCTGTTCCCTACTCTGTCTCTGGTGGATCCTCTTAACCCCCTGCATCTCTGGCCTGTACCCCAGCTCTTGTATGCATAAATATATAAATCTTTAAATAAAAAGACTTTCAAATAAGACTTAACTAAGGTAATGTAAGAAAAGACCAAGCAAAACAAGAACTGGAACAAAATAAGACCTATGTCAGTTAGGATTCAATTAAGGGAGCAGAAACCACACAAAGTACATCAAGTACATAAGTTATTTAGTGCAAGGAATTAGAGGTCTACAAATTCACTGAAAAGACTAGAGGAATGAATGTTATGGCTACTTGGTTTTTATATACAACATTGCAACTATAATCTGGAGATTATGAAATTGGCTTTGCTACCTCTCAAGAAACAGCTGTCAATGTCACAGGTGCTGCGCTGTCCACAACTAACAATTGTCAGCAAATTGTGAAGCCAACTCATCGCAGAAGTCATGTCTGTCAAGGACCATGTCAGCCACCACTGCTGCTGGAGAAAATGACTTTGCCTCCCTAATGTAGGCAGATAATTCTCTATGTTTTTCATCAACTTTTTTTCATATTTCTCTTTCTTCTTTCACTTAGGTCTCTCTTCATTCCCACCTTTGAGGTCACTGATTCAATCTTCTGTTTGTTCTTGTCTGCTTCCATAACTTTCGGGATGGGGGTCTGCTTGCCCTTCTCCTCTTTTGATCTTTTTATTTTCTGAATCTCTGTTATGTTGTTATTTAAAGCTTCATTTGTTTTTCTGAGTTTTCATGGATCTCTTTGACAAGCTTTCCTGCATTTTTTTTCATTTCTTTGAATTTCTTAATCATGTTAATTTTAAAATCTGTATCTGATAGGAAGAAAAAATCTTCCATATCTTTATAGTTAGATTCTGGAAAGAGATTCTCTCCTTGCGATGTAATACTTTGAGTGTTCAATGTGCCCTGTGTTGTACTGTTGTCTGCCCATTTTGCTGCTTTAAATTTTCCCTGTTTTTGAAGTTATTTGTATCAGTATCTTAGAGATTTGCAGTACTTACACTTTTCTGGTAGATGACACTGTAGTTTGTTTTTTGGTCTTTGGGAGGTTTTTTTATTTTTAATTTTTTTTTTTAGCTTTTCCAAGCTCTATATAATTTTAGATATTTAGCCTTTTGGGGCTTTCATGTCTGGAGATCTGATCTTGCAGCTTTGGAGTCAAGATGTGGGGGAAGGTCCTGTCACTGGCGGAATTAGGATGGGGGTCTGCTTGCCCTTGTGACATCACTAATATCCCTCCTCTCTGGGGTTCCAGTTCCAAGTCTCAGCAATCTGCATGCTGACTGTGTTTCACAAGGTCAGTTTTAGTCCTGAGATGTTGGGGAGGGGAAACGCAGCCCAGCACACTGTTCTTTTCAGTGGATCCATCTTACTGGGAGCACCTTAGCTCTTCTGCATGTATCTCCTTTCAGTGAAGGATGTGTGCCTTTCGAACATTCAGCTTTCCCCTGCCCAAGGTTTGTATGGCAGCCACCAGGCATTTCTCGACCTCGACCTCTTATTTTATGAAGCATGAATCTCCTCAAGGTCCCTTCTGTTGTGGTCTATGCTGGTCTACTGTGTTCAAGAGGTGTTTCATCTTCACTCCAAGCCATGGGACTCTTCAGATTTAGTCCTTTTCTAGTGACACTCAAATTATCTTCCTGGAAGCAAGCAAGGAAATTCCTTTTATGCCATCTTTTTTTTTTTTTAAATTTTTTTTTTTTTTATAGAGGCATGTTTTTATTTATTTATTTGTTTGTTTGTTCGTTCGTTTTGTTTATACATGCACTGGGTACAGGCAGAAGCGCGGGAGGGTGAGAGAATTCACCAGAGCCAGAGCAGGGAGCAGAGCAGGCAGAAGGACCGAAGTACACTGCTGAGGGGAGCAGCGGGCGGCAGGAGAGGTCTGCGCGCCATGTGGGACCCTCCTCCGGTGGCCGGGAGCAGCCGGGGATCGAACCGGCGCCGCAGAGGTCGCCGGCAGCTTTGCAACCCAGCGCTCAACCGCTGCGCCACGGGGGAGGCCCCCTTTTATGCCATCTTGATCCAGTCTTCATCTCGTATGTTTTATTGGAATTCAGTGAGGCTTATTTGTTCACATCTGATCTATGGCTGACGAGTTGTCACAGAAACTGTATAGCATACAACCTAAAGTTAAAAATAGCCACTATTGGCCATTTACAAAATAAGCTTGACCACATCTGTATTACATTAATGTTCTTCAATTTGCACAGATTTTACCCAATTTACCCTAGTGAAATTCTGAAAGATTGTTTCTTTTAGGAATCAGAAACTTTTTTTCCTCTCTCCCTTTTATCCTCTTCCAATCAATACCACTGACTGCTGATCAGGACCAGAAGAAAGGCCATATAATATTTTAAGGTGTTAATTTAAATTGTTGTACTTCTATTTATTTATTCTATTTATTCCTTCTTTTTTATTCCTTCTTTTTTGAACTTTATTTTCCTCTTAGATTTATGATTTATTAGAGTACAGTTGGAAATTAAAAATGTGTATAGGTGCTTACATATAGTGTATAATATAAGCAATTTTCAGTTTGATATAGTCCTAACTTGTCTATTTTCTATTTTACCTGTATTTCCTGTGCTCTGGTATCATCTCCAAAAATATCATTGCCAACACAAATGTCAAGAAGCCTTGTCACTATGTTTTATTCTAGGAGTTTTGTAGTTTCAGGTATTACATTTAAGTGATTAATTCATTTTGAGTGAATTTTTACAATGATGTAAGATCAGAACCCAGTTTCATTATTTTGAGTATGGATATTCAGTTTTCAGTACCATTTTTTAAAAAGGCTATTCTTTCTCACATATTTGTACTTGGCACCCTTATCAAAGATTAGATAAATGTATATTCATGGATTTATTTCTGGAATTTCTATTGTGTTCCATTGGTCTTTGTGTCTGCTTTTATGCCTGTACCATACTCCCTTTGCCAGCAATTCTTTCAGTCCTTGACTTGTATACACATTAATCTCTTCCTTCACCTTCACATGACCTTCTCCCTCTGTCTTTCTCTGTGTCTCCTCTTATACAGACACCACACATATTGAATTAAAGGCCTATCCTACTCCAATATGATCTCACCTTAACTTAAAAATAAATTAAATCTTCAAGAAAACATATTTCCAAATAAAGTCACATTTTCAGGTACTAGGAAGCTGAACTTTAAAACTCTTTTTGACAAATGCAATGTAACCTATATACTCATAAATTTAAAAATGGTTCTAAAAAGAAAAACTGTGCTAGAAGAATATGAGCAAAGAAATCAATAAATGTGAATAAAACAAAACCAAAAATGTTGCACAGAATGATAAAGAAATATTTAAACAAAATGTTAAAAATAAAAATAAATTTAAAATAAGAAAAATTTATATATATGGTAGTAATCAAAGCTCAAGTCATCTAAGATAATCAGAAGAGTAGGGCTACTGTAATTTTTAGACCTTCAGTCAAATATGCAATTGAAAATTTTAGTAGTTAGTTCTGAGAGAAAAAAATTGAAAATATACTTTCCAAATAGTATTGGAGAAAATTTTTCTATTAAACAACTAATTTATAATGAATTCAAGAAAGAAAAAAAAAAACAAGTAACATTAAACACATATGCATGCACAAAATGACAGAAATAATTCCAAATGTATCAGTGATCATGTTAAATGTAAGTGCACTGAACTCTCCAATTGAAAGGCAAAGACTGCCCAGTAGATAAGAGGTGTTAAAAGAGAATTTCCTAAAACATAGGGTAGATAAATCTCTGATTGTTTTAACCCAGTCTTGATATAGATATGTTAGAATCAGGGAAAAAACTTTTTAAGGCAAAATTATTAGAGATTTAAAAAAAGATACTATAAAATGATAAAAAGTCAAAATTCACCAAATGATAGTGAATTCTCAATTTTTATGTATCTAACAGTGAGGTCTCATACAATCAAAAGCTGAAATTATTGGAGGAACAATAAGGAGCAAACTCTGAGCCTATGAATGATATTGCACCTCCATCACATTTTAATAGACTCCACCCATCTCCATGCTCAAGAGATCTCAGGTGCCTGGGATTACAACTCCCAGTATGTCATGAATCTAATTTCTTGAACCAGGATCCACAGGGAACTAGGGGTGGAGTTAAGCAGTCATGCTTGGTATATAATTTAACACATGTGATCTCAGCTCTCTTGTTTTTTCTGACTTTTGACTTGCACCCTGGTGTCTCAGCTCAGACAGCATTACTGTTGACCAATTAATCTTCTCCATTTTTCTGTTCTCTTTTTGCTCATTCCCCTTATAAATAAAACCTTTTTGACAATTTTTCTCTGCATGCCTGCTTTTGAGTCTTGTCCTGAGTTCCTAAGAACACACAAGTCACCTTGTTTCCCTCTGGGGCTGCACTGAACAAAATAATGCACCATTATAATAGAGAATTTTAAAAATCCTCTCTCAAAAATTGATCAAGGCCAAAACAGAAATTGTAAGTATAGAAATTTTTGTTTGAAAATACAATTTGCCAGTTTGATCTCATGGATCCCAGCAATTAAAAATACATTTTTAAGTATCTATGAAATATTTTCAAAAGTTGGCCAGTTATTAGGTCACAAAGCAACTCTCAGAACATCAAAAGAATTAATATAAATACATTTTGAAGTTGTAGAAGATAGAATTTTTTGGATGGATTAATGCTGCACCTCCCCCTGCAGTGACCTTTAGGGCTAATGGCTTTCGCCAAGGTCCCTAGGTCCGGCTGGGCAAGGAACCAGCGCGCAGGGGGAGAACAGCAAAACTCCCTAAAGCAGGGGAGTACATCAAAGTTCCCTGAAGACATGGATAAGACAGAAGCCTATCAAAGGATTACGACCACCAGGAGCTAAAACCTTATCTCATCTTTCTAGAACTACAAACTTTATCCCTTCATTGTCTTTCTAAAACTTCCTTCTTTCTTCCATAAAGGTCATTTGTTGTTAATTAAAAAATCATATGAAATCCTTAACACAAGGCTGACTCAAATGAAACGTTACTAAACCCTGTAATAATTAAAATATAGTTTAAGTGAAAAAGTAGCTAGTAAAACAAAAAATGCGATCATATAGCTTAAAAACAAAACTAAGGGATTATCTACTTAAGAAAGAGGCTAGGTCCAGATGTAAACCACTCAGCAATAAGCTAAATCCATTCACTGCTCCTGTATATATACTGGCAACTAACTCAAAATCGCACTCAGATTTACACTCTCTCTTGAAGTGTGTCTGTTTGTCATTTCTTCAGCCGAATCCCTGACCACCCTGCGCAGTCTCTCAACCCTGAGACGGCCTCATCGTTCACTGCTGTGCTGGTCCGCGGCAGATTAATGTAAGTAATAAGAAAAAGAGTTATCAAGGATAACTGCTCAATTATAATTTAAGAACTCAGTAGATGGTCATTCCATTAGCTAAGACTGTGAATGCAAGACAAAATAAAGATATGAGGGTAAGGGGGGAGCCTAGAAATCCATAGTTCTATGTTGACTATGTTACAGATACTAGATATAAAAGTGAAGATGCCAATTAGGACCTTCTGAGGAAAAATAAAGTTTAACATACAGATTAGAGAATCATTAGCATAAAATATGGTATTTTACTCATGAGACACCTAAAAGAGGTATCTATTGAGTAAGAAAGTAATAATAAATAAAGAGGAACTATAAGATAAAGAGAACTGCAAATTTAGAGATCTAGATGAGATTAAAAAGGCAAAGGAAATTAAGGAGTAATCAGTGAAATCTGAGATAAACTAGGAGAGTATAGAACCATGGGCATCAAACTGAGATAAGCTCTTCTAGTAGGAAGAGTGATTATTCAGTCCATTGGATAAGAACAAAGAAGTGGTCATTGTTTTGAGCACTATGGAAACCATTATGAACTTGGCATTATGGAAATCATTGAACTAATTCTCCATGGTGTGGTGTGAAGGAATTCTATTTGGAGTGGATTAGTTGGAGAATATAAAGAAAGGAAGTAAAATATTAACTACAGAAAACTCTCTTCAGAAGTTTAAGTATGAAGGAGAGTAGAGAGATGGGGAGAATAAAATAAGGGACAGAAGGTAAGAGTTTTTATTTTTAGGCAGGACATATGAGAGGAGGTTATTATGGAATGGTGTTATACAAAAGGATAGTGATGATGTGACAGGTGAGAGAGATAACTGCAAGGGCAATGTCCTCAAAAATTTGAGAGAGGAGGGAACCCAGAGCATAAGAAGTGCTGTACTTATACCCAGTAACAAGAAGGGAGACATTGCAAGGGTACAGATGAAGACGAGGATGTTCTTATTTCAGTCATTTTCTCAAGGAAGTATAACCGCCATTTAAGAAGTGAAGGAAGTGGTATAGGAGTACTGAGGGAAGAAAAGACATGTAAAATAATTGTTTAGAAGTGAAAATTTGAATGTGCCAGAGTAGTAGGATTGCTAGGTAATGAGGTGTGTCTTTTTGAATGTTGTAATCATGGATTGAATGTGAAAACAATCAGCATGGTGAATGTGAAACCAAGCAGCAATATTAAGCTGCTTGAGTGCAGGGAGAGAATCAGTTGAGCTCAATCAGAGTTGGACTTATGCCTAATGAGCACAATGATAGGGGAGAGGGACATATGACTTAAGGTGGCTGGAAGGTTCTGATTTCAGTATCACATGACCTACGGCTTTGTTTGCATATGCCCTAAAAATAGTTTTGAAAAACTAGATACACTCCACTCATTGTTTAAGGTAATATCTAATTTTCTCATTATAAGTTAAAATGTGATAAGACTTTTTGACATAATACGGTTTGATATGTCATTTAAAAAACTGTCTTAGTTCATTGAGGGATCCATAACACAATAAAATGGACTTAGTGACTTATAAATAGCAGAAAATTATTTCATACACTTATGAAAGTTAGGAAGTCCAAGTTCAAGGCACTAGGAGACTGGACCTCTGATGAGATCCCACTTCCTGGTTCATACTTTGCATCTTCCCACTGTGTCCTCATGTTGGAGAGGAGAGAGCAATCTTGGGCTCAAGACCAAATCACCTCACAAGATCCTACCTCCAGATGCCATTTAATTGGGAATTAGGTTTCAGCTTATGAATTTTGAGAGGACACAAATATTCAGTCTATAGCAATAACCAATGCACTTTAACACTATATCAATCTGGTATCCACCATTACCTATTAAAGAATGTACTTATATGTGCTGCTCAATTTGAAATTTTATCTTGTTTTTCTATTTGAATTTATACTTCCAGCCCATTTACTCTCCTTAACGACTGAATTTTATAATATATTTTTGTGCTCACAAGTTTTTATTTATCACCTTCACACATTTCTCTGCAACAAACATATGGATATAAAGTGAAGTTTAATATAATTTTTATATTTTGTGCAATCATAAGGTTCTAAGTACTAAAACTTCTAGATTAGTTACTATTATAATTATTATATACATTGATTAAAATAATTTCTATATTAAAACTTTTTTCAGAACATATATTTAAGTTTGACAAATAGCTATTAAATATAACAAGTAACATTTTATTAAAACTGTAAATTAAGACATTTTTTCTTAATGAATTACTTCATTCATACATGAATGTTAATTTCTTGACTAAGTTATAGAAAACAAAGGCCATCAATTATTTCTTCATTTTTCACTATTATACCTATGTGCTAAGAACCTTTTGCTCACAACTAAGTAGATAGAAAATGGAAAACGTCTATATGGAAAACTTCTATAGCAATGTCATTCAATTGCTTGAACTAATTGTTTCAACTTCTGAGTTGAAAGCCAAAAAGTATCATATGAAGATAGGAAATAGGTAAATAGTATATCAACTGATAACTCATTTTACTAAAAGCAAAGAAGAGGAACACTTTTAACTTGCAAAAGGATTTGTTAATGGATTATTAGAATCACTTGGCTTCTCAATTTCTAAGAACTATACCAAAAATGCTTTACTGAGATTTATCTGAAAGTAAATAATACTTGCTATTCTTTCACTTTAAGGCATATTGTTTAATTCAATGTACTCAGGAAGAAATCCACAAAAGTGAATATTATTGATTTCATTACACTTTTGTCGATATAGTGTGTGATGAAATGCTATTTAATCATGTTTCTTAAATCAAGCTTCTTATGTTGAGGTAATTGTAGATTCACATTCAGTTTTAAAGAAAACCCAGAGAGAGAGCCCCTAAACCTTTCATTGGATTTCCCTCCTTTAATAACAAGAGTTTCTAATATATTTTCATCAGTACTTTTAAGGCATAGATTTAGCTCATGCAATATCATGAAAAGCCTTGCATGCAATCCAACTGATAAAGTCAATAATCAATGTTAGGTCAACCAGCAAAATTAGACCCAATTGCTTAGAGGTTGGTTCATTTTTAAATTGTTTTACATATATATATATTTTGAAGATTTATTAATATGCTGAGAAAAAAAATCAGAGTATTATTTTGTCAACCAGATCACTTGTTTCTGCAGATAAGATTAAAATAAATTACATGGAATCAATTGAATTATTTCATCATTTCCAGTCAGTTATAATAAAAACAAGACAATAATAACATATTGTAATATACATATTACAAAATACATATTTTGTAATAATGCAATTAAATGACTAGCTAAAACAGTTTTTTATGACATGAGGAATATGACAACTGCAGCGGCAGGAAGGCATAGTGCAGGATTTCTATGATCCTGTGCAGACGGATTCACGGAGGAGTCCTGGAACCCTCTGTGGCTTTTGCAGGACTTCATTGGGATTTACCAGGTACATGGCAGGCAGGGGTGTCAGGAGGCTGGCAGGCCTCCCAGCCCCTGGTGAATCTTCACTCTTTCTGGGCTCTCTGGCGTCCTCTCATGGCCTCTGCTTCTCTGCTGGTGCTGTTCTTGTTCTGGTGTTCTCTCCCGCTCTGCTGGCATCCCCAAGACCCCGCCCTTATAAACACAGTCTCTCAGCCCGGGTGTACCCACCTACATATGCCCACACTCTATTCCAGGCACCCGCTATCAGGCATGCATTCAGAACCACAGGGATCCATCATCAATGCTGTTGACGTGAGGGCAGAAATGCCTGACAAACATTTACCCTACGCTAGTTTGGTAAGTGAATGTATGTGCAAGCATCTAGCTTTGTGTAAGGGCAGGACAGGACATGGGGCAGGTTTTCTAATATCCAGCAGACCGGGCGAAGGAGGACTCAGAATCCTCAGTGGTTTTTTGCAGGTCTTTTATTGGGATTTACCCGGTACACAGCAGGCAGGGCTGCTGGGGGGCCGGGAGGCTGGCAGTCCTCCAGCCCCCAGCAAATCCTCACTCTATCTGGGCTCTCCGGTGATCTCTGCTTCTGCTTCTCTTTCGGCTTCTGCTGGCATCCCCGTGACACCACCCTTAAAAGCCCAGTCTCAGCCCAGGTGAATCCCATCTGCCTATGCCCACACCCTACTCCAGGTGCCCGCCATCAGGCATGCATTCAGGACAAGGATCCATCATCTATCCTGATGGCGGGAGGGCAGAAAAACCTGACATTTTTCCTTACCCTACACTTTGTTTTCATCCTTTTGGAATGTTTAAAGAAGAATTAATACAAAATCAGATATTACTTCATTAATTTTGTTAGATATGGTGGTCTTCAATATAATTTCAAACTTTTCCCAGAATGTATTAAAGGGAAAAATATATACTAAAACCTGACCAGTCCTACAGGCAATTTATAGTATTTTGTTTTGTTGTTGTTGTTGTTATTAGGAAGTAAAAATTATTAAACAGTTTATAAGGTGAAATCATATTAATATTAACTTAAATTAGAAGTATTTATTATTCTTTTTACTAATAAATAAATGATATTTAATTTGGAAAAGCATATTTTTTAGTTATTTTAATTACATCAGTTGCATGACCTAATTCTCTTACTTTCTATTCTATTTCCGTTACTTTCTATTAATCCAGAGTCTTGAAAAAACCTTTGTACTGATATTTCCTTTTTTTTTTTAAAGATTTATTTATTTATTTATACAAGCACTGGGTACAGTCAGAAGTGCGGGAGGGTGATAGAATTCACCAGAGCCAGAGTGGGGAAGAGAAACAGGCAGAACGACAAAATACACTGCTGAGGGGAGTAGCGGGCGGCAGGAGAGGTCTGCGCGCCATGTGGGACCCTCACCGGTTGCCAGGGATCAAACTGGCGTTGCAGAAACTGCAGGCAGCTTCACAGACCAGCGCTCAACTGCTGTGCCACCGGGGAGGCCCTGTGATATTTCTAAGTATCAATACCATGAATCTGTTTTACTTAAGTTGGTCAAAGTTCTTTTCACTTCAGCTAATAAG